GGCGTAAGCAACATGAAAGCATGGATCCATCCTGCCTTGTATCAGCAGCTTAGGCTGGTGGTGTAATGGTTTTTTTTTTGGGGGGGGGGGGGGGGGGGGGGGTATCGACTGAGCATCGTTTAAACGCCACAGCATACCTGAGTATTGTTGCTGACCATGTCCATCACTTTATGACCACAGTGTGCCCATCTTTCAATGGCTATTTCCAGCAGGATAATGTGTCATGTCACAAAGCTCAGATAATCTCAAACTGGTTTCTTGAACATGGCAATGAGTTCACAATACTCAAATGGGCTCCACCTGATCTCAATCCAATAGAGCTCCTTTGGGATGTGGTGGAACGGAATATTCGTAGGATGTACAGCAGACAAATCTGCAGCAACTGTGTGATGCTATCATGTCAATATGGACCAAAATCTCTGAGGAATGTTTCCAGCAACTTATTGAATCTATGCCATGAAGAATTAAGGCAGTTCTGAAGGCAAAAGGGGTCCAACCCGATACTAGCATGGTGTACCTTATAAAGTGGCCAGGGAATGTATGTTATAATGACATTTCACCCCTTTTTAAGTCATCGTTAATGTGAACCCTGTTGTTTTATAGTTTGGGGATTGTTTTAACTCATTAATTGCATGACATGTGCATACATTCATTTTTCCAACTGATTATTCAGTAGAAGTCTATCATTATTCAGTAGAAGTCTATCATTATTTGTTTATGTTTTAAGGGTAGTTAGTAATCGTGTTTGTTATCATTAAGAGGTTTTGTGTTGTAGGCTACTATTTGTCCTTCAAATGATTGTAGAACTAGCATCTGTTGATTCAAGAATTGGCTCTCTTTTGGAGTGCTGGACAGGTTTTGTCCAGATTGACAGTCGATGTCCACTAGCGGGGTCTGCCATCCTTCTGTGAGAGGCAGCAGAACCAGGTTATCTATGCAGAACAAACACTTGATTTCAGTGTCACAGAGTGAGACCTCCCAATCCCTCACACAGGACAGATTAGAAAAGGCTTTTTAAGATATTTACTTGATGTTTCTTTTTGTCTGAAAGATATCTTCACCTCAGGTCACCTTGTTCCACTTTACTGTAAGTCTGTAATTTAGTGTTTGGATGCCAAAAGCACTTCCAGAGCAAAACTTACAGCTGCCCGAGCAGATAGCAGTAATCAAAACATGTCCTTGCGCCCATATCTGAGCATAGCATGGGGAGATGGACGCTTGTTATCTAGTTTAACTGGACTAGTGCTGCACCACACACAAACATGTGCACATGAACGCAAACAGACCGCCAACTCCCTCTGTCCACAAGCCCCCTTCTGCTACAAATCCTCTCAGATCACTCTACCCAGCAAGTCTCCTGTTTGGACAGCAGCGTGAGCCCTGTCCCTGGTCCAAAGCCACGGCTTCCTCCCCTCTTCCCACCTGTCAGGTGCTCTTGGCCGTTTTAATGGGGGAGGAAAAGGAGGGGAGGGGGGACAACGGCCAGCCTGCCGGATCCAGCACCTGCCTGCCTGCCTCTCTGTGCCAACCTTTACGGCTGTCTCTCAGCTCCGCTTCACTTCCTCTAAGCCAAGACTCCCAGCAGGTGTCCCTACAGAATGGAGATCTATCCGAGCCACCACGGAGGTCCAACTCGTCTCGTCTTCTCTGGCTGTTGTGAGAGACAGAGAGGTCACACATTTCCACGCACATTCACGGAGCTCTCTTTCCTCAGTCGTGCAGAAAGAGTCACAGAAGTGATTCTTTGCTGAATGTGTGACTTATTAACATTCATAAAATCGCATAGCCTGTCAGTTCCATGGAAATTACTTTGTGAAAGATGGGAATCTCATTACCATGATTACATAAAGCATTGTTTTGCCATTGTTATTTCACACCATGTGTGGTGAAAAAAAATGGAAAATGCAATTTGTTGTGCTTGCAAAGTGTTGATGAGGCTAGCAAGCCTTTAGCAAAATGTGCAACCGCAACACTGCATGAAACCATCGAGAGACTGAACAATTACTCAAACAGCACAGCTTTTGAGAATAACAGGCGTCTGTATATCATTACGAGATGGAATCATTATCACTCTCATAACAAGTATTAGTGCAACAGTTTAAATTCTGTTTAGCTAATGGATGCCTTGAGAAAAGATACAATTGCAAGTTTTTAGGCTTTGCCTCATCTCTAAATTAAACAGAAGTGAAAGTATGATAATAGTAGTAAGGGCCATTCACACTGAGGACAATAACTATAACTATAAAGGATTAATAATGGCTCTAATTCTATTAGAATAGAAAAGCCCACACCACAACTACGATACAAGAACAATAACATCACAGAATGATGTAGATTCACTTTTAGAATGATTCTTTTTTTCAGCTGATGAGCAATAAAACACTGACAATCAATCAATTGTCCTAGCTACTGAAAAAACGTAAACATTAAAAGCGGCAGAGCCAAAAACAGAGTGTCTATTTACACTAAGTGCAAAAAGCCCGCCTTGTTGGCAGAGGCTATTTACACTAACTCCGCCCACTGACGTCTGGTTGGGCCAGACAAAATTACGAAAAACGCTGAAAGGTAAACAGTAGCAATAGTGTAGGCGCAGTGTGTTTAGCAGAAAGTTCTGACGCAAATCGACCTGAATTCAAATCCACCTTTTGCCGGACTATAGCTCTACTCCCTTTTCCCATCACATATTAGATTGGACAGGCATTTATTTCAATAAAAATAAAGAAAATATTCGAAAAATTTAAATAGTGTCTAACATGTGTTTGATAATAAAGTGCTTATCGGTTAGGGGTAGGTGTAGATTGGGCTTTATTGTCCCAATAATGCGACATCCATTTAATAATTTAAATAGATATAATAATTTACACTTATCACATACCGTTTAATATACAACACTGAGGTGCAAATAGTATTGCCCCTATTTATAAGTAGCCTAGCATCTAACTACACTTCTTGGAAAGAACATAGGCCTACTGCTATTTTTACATAGTGTAAATATAATCTATCGCTATTTTCACTTAGTTCAACTGTGCTTCAACAGTGATAAGGCTTTGAAGTAATATGAATGACACCATTTTTTATATAGCTTTAGTCAATATAACTGTTGGGGATATTCACAAAAAAGGTGATTGACATTGTTCAAACAGTAGCAACTCAAATACTGTATACAAGCTGTTGATCAAGCTGGTCCAACGCTGGTTTTGAGCACTAGTCAGTCAGTTGGTCAGAAACTGGGAGACAAGCTGACCAACCAACTAGCTAAGCACCAACTTGGACAGGGTGGGAGCTTACCTAGACCAGTTTAAACCTATGGTTTAAGCTATTCTTTCAGCAGGGGTAAAGCTCAAATCAAGAAATATCAGGAAAAGAAAATCTCATTCTGCCAGTTTCTCTTAAATCTCACCTTCTCCCTGGCTGTCCCTGACAATCCTGTGAACACGGTTTCCAGGGCAACATCTCCAGTGGCCAGCAGATGCAGAGAACAATGATTGTCCAGAGCAGAGGGGGCAGAGGGACCTCTTCAGTCAAGACAGGTGCCAGAATCCAGATGTTCTCATAAACACTCGTTTCAAGCAAATAATTCATTTTCACAATAGATAGATAGATAGATAGATAGATAGATAGATAGATAGATAGATAGATAGATAGATAGATAGATAGATAGATAGATAGATAGATAGATAGATAGATAGATAGATAGATAGATAGATAGATAGATAAAGGAAAAGTGTAACTCAGTGTTAAGAGGTCTTATTGTCTTATTACACTGTAGAAATTCAGACCCTGCTGCAAGCAATCTCATCAGATTCATGTGCTTTTACAGAACTGTGTTCGGTTCCTTGATTTCTGTAATGTGTTCCTCGGCCGAGGAACAAAAGGCTTAGCAATGTAATTCAGTGAGAGCAGAAAAGATGTCTAGAGCCGAGCTCTGTGCTACATGCATTAAACATGACATGTAGGGCCATGTGTATGGTAGTAGCTGGGACTTAAAACGAAAATGCTCTTCACACTTGAAGACAGGTTGTATTCTGTGCTGAGCCGCAATTCACTGAGGAGATTTGAACCTTCATTTAATCTGTGACAGGAAGACTGGGGCTGCAAAACACTGTGCTTTGCGGTAAGAAACACTATGAGGGTGAATGGAAGACAGAATATGCTTTTAATTTAAATGAATGATTATTCTATTGGAAAAAAATCACTCAGAACCATATTGTTAAATAATTGAATTAAGCTATGCTCTTTTAAAAAAAGTTACATTTAACCAGATGAACTAAATAGTTGAAATAAAGCATTCTGTTCTCACATGAGTTCCCATTTCCTTCACACTCTTTATATATTTAATGACTTTTATTACGCTATAAATATTAATCAACAATAGGCTGCTAAGAGAGATGCTGAAGATCAGAATGCATCATTCTAAGAGGAAAGGGGCAGGCACTTTAATCAAAGAGGTCTTAGGATATTCTAGTAGGTGCTGCGCATGGCGGCTGCAGCCAATCGTGGCTCTCGAGAGTGCTTATTGGCTGGGCTGTGGGGGATGTCTGGCTTCCATCGGTAGGGGGTTACTCTCTCTCCGCTCCATCCGTCCATTCAGCCCCCACAGTCAGCAAAACACTCGTCAGAGCGCAGGTCCACAGCAAGAGAATCCTGCAGAGCTCCGTGTATGTGTGATGTGTGTGTGTGAGTGTGTGTTCAGAGTGTCAGGAGGAGAGAGAGACAGCATGGACTAGCTGCTTCTGAACCACTGCAGGAGCACTAAATCTGGGACTGTCACAGATACTGAAGGAGAGAGAGAGAGAGAAGACATTGGGAAAAGGACGTTTATCTAGCACCACAGTTATGGAGACTCATCTCTGCGGTCCACCAGCGGATCAAACTAGAAGCAAAGGACAGAAAAGTCAGCCACCGTATTGACTTTAATCTTCTGGCGGAAGAAGAAGATTATATTCCCTGACAGTTTGCTCTCAGAAGGTGAAGATTAGGAGTGGATTTTTATCCTTCTTTCTTTCCTTTTTTCTTCTGTTTCAGTTAATTGCTGTGCTTTTGGGTGGGGGCTCCTCACCCTCTTCACAAGTCGTCACCTCTCTCAGATCCTTCCTTTCCTTCCCAACATCTTCTCTGCATGCTTTTCCGCTGCTCTGCAGGTGAACACACTCATGGTGGATGCCAAGGGAAGGAACATGAAATGTCTGACGTTCTTATTGATGCTTCCAGAGTCAGTTAAGAGCAAGTCCAGCAAAGGCTCCAAAAAGGGGAGTCCCAGCAGCTCGTCCAAGCTGCCCCCTGTGTGCTATGAGATCATCACCTTGAAAACTAAGAAGAAGAAGAAGATGGCAACGGAGATCTTCCCCACTATGAAGCCGGCTTCGGCCACCACGGTGCAGCAGTACCAGCAGCAGAACTTGAACAACAACAACACCATCCAATGCTGCAACTGGCAGGGTCTCTACTCCACGATCAGAGAGAGGTAGGTCAACTTTTGATGTGTTCAGAGAGGGAGACCAGAGACTGGCACGCAGAGAACATCTGCCGACAAACAGAGCCTTTATAAAGTGATAGCTGATGCGGTGGGGTCCAAAAGTCTCAGAGCACTTTGAAAATATAGGACTTAAACCTGCAAATAAGAAGTTTTAGGATTATGAAAATGTAATTAAAGAAAACTATTTCTAGTTCACATCTAATCAAATAAGCACATTTGTGACACGTTCTTGCACATTGAAGCAAGATGCTTTTCTCAAACATTTTCAAATGGGTAACTTGTGGAGCTCATCCACCTTGAAAGCTGTGGTGATTAAACAAAAAAAAAAATCTATTGAAAATTCCAAACAAACTGTAATGCTCATAAAATGATTTATAAATAAATAACTTGTTAAAAATGTAAAGATAAGTTATAATTATTAATCTGGAGCATTTTCACTGCTGGTTTCAGACTTTTAGAGCACACTGAATATTTGGAAGAATATATTGCATACACAGTTTAACTCAGGGTTCACTAGGTTCAGGTGTGGGTGTTGAATGTCATAGTGTTATTCAATGGCTCTCTGAGATTGTTTGAGAATGTTCTGAAATGTTAAAATGTCAATTTGTGTGGTTGTCGGTCTCTGTTCTGTCCTGTATGCATTATCCTAGGAGGTAAAAGAAAGGAACAAGTCTTGTTTTATATGCCACGGCTTTGCTCTCTGTCAAAGGGTAATATTTACTTTGTCGTCATGGGAAAGCCCCATGCAGGCCAAAACAAATGTGCGGTCTCGGACCTGGCTTTGTAGTCCCTTTGGAAAAGCGTTCCTTATTTACCTACTGCTCCTTTGTGGCCGGGACCACAATAATACATGAAGAAGATGCCATTGTAGACTCCCATTTCACAGGGGCCAGGGATTTTCCTGAGAAAGATCCTGTTCTATTCTGAATGTTTTCAAAATTAACAATATTTAGATTTCCCTACTTCCCAATAGAATAAGAGCATTTTTAAAGTTGATAGTCATTTCATGTTATATGAAAATTCCTTTATGTCTAAAGAAATACGCCAAATTGTCTCTTTTGCAGAAATTCTGTGATGTTCAATAATGAACTGATGGCTGACGTTCACTTTGTTGTCGGTCAATCCGGAGGGACTCAGAGGCTCCCGGGACACAAGGTAAGACCTATTGACCTGCACTACACTGTCATCTCAGCATTACAAGAGAATATAATCAGGATTTAGAGTTTGCGATGTGCTTCACTGCTGTTGTGCTTCAAGTCTTTATCTTGTTTTCAGTCTAGCCCGCCATGTGCCTTTCTGAGACACTCCTAAATTATTGATGTAAATCAGACAGAAGTGGAGAGTCTTTTGACAGAGAGATGTCTGTCTTTTGCTCATTTGGATTTATACTGTATTAATTATTTAGAGTTTGTGCTAAAAGTTCCTTAACTGTACAAAAGCACATGCACATTTTTTTAGTATTTGAATAAAGTGCTTTTATTTATGCACACTGTGGCTGAATCTCCCAAAGGTTTTCCTGAATAAGCTGCTTAATTGTTGCTTGGTAAAATGAAAGCGTGTCAGATTTTGACAACACAAAACACATTCGACCGATCTGTTTCAAATAATGTTTCAACATCATACCCTATTGTAATATTAGTGCATTTATAGTGATTTAACTCAGGGGTTTTCAGACTGAGGCGACAAGGGGTGCCAGGGAATCCATGGAAAATATATACATTTTTAGATCTGACACTATTATTTAACGTTATCATTATGCTGTGTGTAAAGACATTTTGGAAATCATGCGCTTAATCATGACTATTTTATTCTATCGACAACCATACTTCTAAAAGTAAAAAAAAAAAAAAGCACCAACATTTATTTGTAGTACATACTGACAAAATGGCTATACAAACGCATTAAAAATTTAAACGAATGAAAAATGTTTCTTTTCACGTTCATACAGATAATATTTTCCACAAATGACTTTGCAAACCCTTGATCTAATTTATCTCCACCGAGTAAACCCTTTGAGATCTTCTTGGAAAGCAATTGCTTTTGTTCTAAAATTTTCATGGCGACCATTGGATTGGCTTTATTATGTATGACATTTTTTTTTAACCACAGGCCAATTTTAACTGCACCAAAACCCCATTTAAATCGGTTCTTGTTTCACTCTCAGACTTTATTCAAAAAGACAGGGTTAATCTGGTGGCTACAATTCAGGCATGACACATCTTTTGTCCATTTAAGAGGGTAGAACTGAAACCTGTGTATGGCTGATATGTGATGCTTTATAAAGCTCACTTAAGCAAGGGCATTGTATTGCTTTGCTGCATGGCCACAGCCAATATTGCAATGGGCCATGAAGAGTTATTACAGAGCACCTTTTTTATGATGTCCATTTGGCTGGCGTTCAGATATGCATTATCATTTTTAATTGAGAAGGTTATGTTTGCTTCTAGGAAAGGCTTCCTTGCATGCGAGTGCTTTGCAAAATTACTCTCTGCATTTATTTGGTGCTCCTTAAAGTTACAATATATTTGCTATGGGCTTTTCACATGAGGGATCCTGAGGGAGAAAAACACACGTTTACTGACGCAGCAATAAAAAGGCCAAACTAAAGTTCACTAACTGGAGAAAAATGCTATGTGAGAGTAATGCTAAAATGAATTGTAAATATGCACTTCTGCTCATGTTATATAATGTATCTGCATTGCTGTGTTGGCCTCTGATTTCATCATTAGCTACGTGCACCCATTAGCATCAGCGAGATAACTTTTAGCTCCTGCAGCCACTTTCACACCATTGTGCAACACTCCTTATTCGGAGGGAAAAGCAAATGCCATTCACAAGAATGGCACTCCCGTGTCTTGTAAACCCAGGGGGAAATTACAGCCGTAATTAAGCATCGGTCTTTGTGGGTGAAATTTTGTGTGTGCTTCACGCTCAAGTGACTCCAGGGGAATGGGATCAAGCCGAAATTTAAAACAGCCAAGCGTTACCTTTACAATGCAATCGACTCAGAAGAAAGAAACCCTGAAGGGCAACTTGTGAGGAATTAAAGATTGCTAGCTGTGCCTTTCTGATTCAGGTTTATAATAAAGAATGTGTTATTGTGTAGATTGTATGTCATTTAAGGATGATTACAAGAAACCATCACCTGCCACCTGCAAGGTTCTTTTGATAAGTGTGAGGAGAATAATCAGGTTTTTTGTTAAAGCGAAGAGAGACTTTAGTGTAAGGTCATGAAATTGGGTCACTTTGGAAAAATAGAGACTGAACAATATCAGAACAGTATGAAACCTTTTCCATTTACACCACGTGTCCTTCAATAAAAAAGCTGATTTGATGAGTTTGCAATGTTTTCCGATGTTTGAAAATCCCAGCTCATGAGTTAACGTGTAAATTATTTAAAATAAAGTGACGGATACTATAGCTCCTTATGCTAATCGATAACACAAGTCATGTCAAATTAATTTATATACTATATACATATTTTTTCTCATTAGTATGTCCTTGCTGTGGGAAGTTCTGTTTTCCATGCCATGTTCTATGGAGAGTTGGCAGAAGACAGCGACGAGATCCGTATCCCTGATGTGGAACCTCCAGCCTTTCTGGCTATGCTTAAGTAAGACTCCTTTTGCATTTGCACCTTATCTGTCAGGTCTGTACTGGCTGACCCTTTCCTCATCTGCCTAGTTAAACCATTATTATCTTCCTGTACAGATTATTTAGTTATTATTGTTTTCAATTAAGCGCAGGAGTGAAGAAAATTGTTCTCTCTGATCTAAGTACCCCTCTTTGGACTTCTTCCAGAAGGTTAATCGACTACACCGACATGTAATTTCTTTACAGCGAACGGTTCAAGACCATTAAAAACGATATGGCCTTTGGAAGAAGATTTGTCTGATTGAAATCAACTGTGCAATTAGCTTCATTTGAATACATTTAAGATACCAAATATTTTAATTTGACTTCTTAAATGTCATTTTTCTCAGTTCTCAGATCATTTAAGTTCAAAAAGCTCCCTAGCATGACTTTATGGGGCAATTCATGAAAAAGTTGTGCCACTCATGGTATTTCTGCACAAAAATCTGCATCTTATTCATTTACCACAGCAATTCAGTTTAACCAGGTTCTAATGTACAGAGTATTTCTGATTTGCCTAATTTCTTTAAGTGCCAGTTAACAGTATATCTGCTAAAAAAACCACTTAAACTAGCCTTCAGCTGGCCTTGTACATGAGACTTGTAGAACTAAATGGCATGGTTGCTTCAGCATGTGTTTTGTCTAACGCCACTCGCTGGATGTTTCATTTCCAAAGTGCCATACGTACAATAACCATCGTAATAAAATGTTGCCAGATTTCACGGTTTCAGATAAAAACTGAACATGCTTTAAGGCGCCATTCATTGGATATTTTACATTGAGAGTATAGCAAAACGTGCAAGAATCATTTTGAAGAAATGTTGCCACAGGCATATTTTTTCCCAATTAGTATGCGTTGGTATCTCCAAAATGGCTTCTGAACACTAATGGCATTATATACTTAAATGTTATATAGAACTGTAGATTAAACACGAAGAAAATAAATAATGAAGTGAGCTTAGCTTGTCCGCCTCTCAGAGGGCTTAGGACCATGACAGAAGATCTGATAGATCTTAGCTCATGCTTACCCATTTCTCATGAGAGTCCTTCTGTGTTCTCCACTCTCTCTCTCTCTCCTCTTGCGCTGGCTCATCTTTCACTCCCTCCATCTCTTGAGAGAGATTTTTGTTCTCTCTCCCTCCGTGTCTTTCATCCCTCCTCCCCCACTCCCATAAAGAAGTGTAAATGCTGTCTTTTGGTTTGCCGAAGACTCCCATAGAACAGTGTGTTTATTAAGCTACTTCTATTTAGGTTATCGCTTTTAGCCCAGAATGCATTACAGGACATAGTATTAGATTTGCAGAAGATCTGCAGACTGCATCACAGTGTTATAAATTCAGCCTAACACCTGTTCCCAAGGACACAATCACAGGCCAAGTTCATTCCTATTCCACAAAGTTGTGGCCATTGTCAGAATAGTGCTTTTTGTTATAAAGAGGTGTTGCAAAATATAGTATTTCCATTCTCAGTACAGCTTTTCTTTGACCAAAGACACATTGTGGTTCATGCTGGTAGCACATCATAAAATAGTAGCTTCTAGCTGGGCCAGTAATAGAAGTAGTACTGTAGGATGCATTGTAGGCAGCTGTTTTAAATGACTACGGCAGATGATGACTAACCCTTTTTGGCTAACCCTGATTTTTTGTCTGTTTCTCAGGTACATTTATTGTGACGAAATTGACTTGAGTGCAGACACCGTACTGGCAACATTATATGCAGCCAAAAAGTACATAGTCCCACACCTGGCTCGGGCCTGCGTCAACTTCTTGGAAACCAGTTTGAGTGCAAAGAATGCGTGTATTCTTCTGTCTCAGAGCTGTCTGTTTGAAGAGCCAGACCTAACGCAACGCTGCTGGGAAGTCATTGACGCTCAGGCTGAGCTGGCACTTAAGTCTGAGGGTTTTTGTGACATTGACGCTCAGACCTTGGAGAGCATCCTCAGACGAGAGACTCTGAACGCTAAGGAGATTGTAGTGTTTGAAGCGGCACTAAGCTGGGCAGATGCCGAATGTCAGCGGAGGGAGATGAACACAAGTATCGATAACAAACGCAAGGTATTGGGCCAATCCGTCTACCTGATCCGTATCCCAACCATGGGTCTTGATGATTTTGCAAACGGTGCAGCGCAATCAGGAGTGTTAACGCTGAACGAGACCAATGATATTTTCTTGTGGTACACGGCGGCTAAGAAACCCGAGCTGCAGTTTGTCAGCCAACCTCGTAAGGGATTGACGCCACAGAAGTGCCACCGCTTCCAGTCGTGCGCCTACCGCAGCAACCAGTGGCGTTATCGCGGACGCTGCGACAGCATTCAGTTTGCCGTCGATAAGCGGGTGTTTATTGCCGGTTTCGGGCTTTACGGCTCAAGCTGCGGATCTGCTGAGTACACCGCCAAGATCGAGCTCAAACGGCAAGGGGTCGTCCTGGGAACCAACCTTAGCAAGTACTTTTCAGATGGATCCAGCAACACCTTCCCCGCTTGGTTTGAGTATCCGGTTCAGATAGAGCCTGACACTTTCTATACGGCCAGTGTGGTTCTGGATGGAAATGAACTCAGTTATTTTGGACAAGAGGGTATGACGGAAGTTCAGTGTGGGAAGGTGACCTTCCAGTTTCAGTGCTCTTCTGACAGCACCAACGGCACAGGTGTGCAGGGCGGCCAGATTCCAGAGCTCGTTTTTTATGCCTGAGTTTCCCCTGGGAAAACAAAAAACTGCCCACCTTTCCAGAGTGAAATAGCTTTACAATATCCGTTTTTCTATTACATGGCATAATTCAACTCCTCCAATGATGCCAGCTCAAGCAAACTGAGGCATAGCAGGAATTACAAGGGTTTTGTTTTGAGCTGTTAGTGGTTTTTCTGGGCTGTCAAACCGTAAACAGTGAATTAAATATTTTATTTTGTGCTCTGAATAACGCTGCACCTGTTTACAAAGAAAATCTAATTTTAATGGTATGGGAGTCGTTGTCTACGCTCCTAATTGGATGCCACAGCCAGGCTGTTGCTCATTATCTTAATTGATTTAAAATATCTGATTCATTTAATTTGAGAGGGGACATTGTGCATTGTACAGTATATTATTAAATGTGTGAAGTAAATTATAAATATATATATAAATATACTATCACTTCATGGCTACATCTACTGTTTACAATGACTACGCCATGTTAGTGAACGCTTGCACATGTATATTGTAGCAATAGTGAACACATTTCTCATGATACCAGTCTAACTCCAGCATTTCTCCACATCACGATTCAAGGCAATCAAATACCTAACACCAAAGTCACCATAACTACTTTTTGGTCAGCATCATCAAGCACAGATTGTTTAGAATAATGACATCATTTAGATTTAGAAACATCCCTCCATTATAGAAACTTCAAAATGTTTTGAGCTTGCACTGGAATAAAAACTTTTCATTTCAAAGTCTTTAACCCTGCAGTAGACCTTAGTCAAGGTACATGTTGTATTTAATGTTACGAAAATGAAAACAAGGGACAGATGTTCTCTTGAACAAGTTATAATATTTTTAAATTCGACTTTGACAAAAAAAAAGAATTAGACATAGCATAGGGCCTAAAGACAGTACAGGATTTTGGACTGTACATCTGTCCCAAACTGTTTTCTTCTCAGAAGATTAATATAGCCTGACTGAGGTTAGTAGAATCAAATGTGTACAGTGAATGTTGTATTATATTCAGCAGAATCAAAATCATAAATATTTATCTTAAAATATCTCTGGGTTCTATGAAACATGGCTTATTTGAGTAACACAGTTCACCAGTTTGAAGTCTCTTTCATGGCGGTTTGGTAAAGTGCACTAAGAAACTAACACATTACAGTTAATTCAGCTGAAATAACAGGTTACATATTCACAGCATCACCATCACACAATGTGATGTTTTGGGATATTGTGTCATCATTTCCACCTCTATAAGTGTTGTGTACATGGCTAATTAGCAGGATAATTAGCTGTCACCCAACAAACCCGTCTTCACGCTACTAAATGGGATGTTGTCAACTAACATTATATCACATTTTTGTAAAGACAAGATATTTCAAGCATTTTATTTTGTCTGCTTTGGGCTGTAATTACTGGCATTGTGTTTTCCCCCCTTTATTTTCATTAAGGTGTCAAAGCGGCAAGAGTGCAGAAATTCTATTCCGTGTAGAACTTTTAGTGACAGACATAATAGCGATGAGCAGAAGGCAAATAACTGCTCTTCACACTGATCTAGAAATGACCAGTTAAATTTGATCAAAACACTGATATTATCTAATATCACACACACTTAACAGTCAATAAAGTGAACAAAACACAAGGGTTATATAGATCACCAATAAGGTGCACTTTGAAATGTGCTTTAACATCAATGTTTATACATGCAAATCAATTCAAATGTGTCACGTTATGGATTTTTGTGTGTCGAGATTTTGTTAACGTCATGTTTTTATTTAAGTGAATTTACCCATCACATGAGCTACTTTAATCTTTGTGCACTACTTAGAAGAGGTCATTGATGGTGTTTGCTGTGTGTTTATAACACTTCAGTGAATGTGTATAAAGCATATGTGTGTGTGTTACAGTATAGAGAGACTTATGAATGTGTATGATAGATGAACATGCAAATAAACCTAACAAGCAGTTCTATCTTGACATCCAGAATGACTTTTGATATTTCATTTTTTCTTATATAGTAAACAACTTTTTAGAGTTGTTCTGCCCAGAGTTTTGATTATTATATCAAACGTGTTCACATGATGAAAATGCACATGCCTTTTGGAAAAGTACATATTTTCCCAAAATATGATATGTATATCATATATATGATATGTATATCATATATGTATAGAATGTAAAACTCTAGAATAAGAAATTGTGAAATAAAAATACTGTGTAACATGTTTTTTTTAGACATTTAAAGGTGCAGTAAGCAATTTCTGAGAAACACTGTTGATATTTAAAATCGACACCCAAACAAACACACCTCTCCCTCCATTGCCCCCAAAATAAACGACACGCTATGCAACACAGGCAACTACTAACAGCTGATGCAAGTATGTGTGAATCATCTGTGATCCAACAACAACAGCATATCTTGGTTCTGTGAAACGTTCCTCACCTTTGTCAATGTCAATGAGTTACTCACGTATACGAGCAGAAACAAAGCAACATTGGCGTCCGTTTTCAGGCCAATACGAGCAGTATACGAGCAGAAACAAAGCAACATTGGTGTCCGTTTTCAGGTCCGTTTTTCTACCACTTTCCAATATTAATGCGGATTATAGCTCTTGCCTGATCGTGATCCTCCTTCCAATTATATTCATCCTGACCTGTCCTCTTTGGTAATATCCGAGCTATCTCTCTTTCTACAGTCTTTCTACAAATGTCCCGCTTGCTCACTCTCTCCTCCCCCCTCATAAGCGGAAAAGCCTCCTATTGCTGATTGGCTAGAAGAGTATTTTGGTGCTCCATGGATCAGTCTGATCCCCTTTGTTTTTTGTCCTATTTACACAGCCAGGACTATGAAGTTGAACTAGAGAATGTAAATGTGTACCTTGAAATGCAATGTAAGTCGCTTTGGATAAAAGCGTCTGCCAAAATGTATAGATGTAAATGTAAAATACAAACACTATACAAACACTTTTTTCTTCCAGCACACACACAGAACAGACATCTAGCAAATATTCACAAAATTGTTTGTGTTGATTAAAGTTTTCAACAGCTTTCTCTGAAACTGCTTACTGAACCTCTAATGTCAAACTGACATGTTTTAATATACAAAGTCTGACTTGATCACTGAACTTTGATAAATTGCACACAGTATGTTTTGCAACCAAACGTTACAGGGGTTGAACAGACTAGTCGATAAGTCGACCTTAATGCAATGCCCGCTTTAAGCTTGACGTCGACTAGTCGGGTTGATCATGTGACACTATGATTGGGCTAATTTTGATGCTAACAACATGGCAGCATTGCAGACTATAACAGATGAAGAGCCCAGAGGGTCATTGCAGCAAGAAAGAAGTGGTACATCAAGTGTGTGGAAATACTTCACTAACTTAACACTAGATATTGTTGAAAACGAAAGTAAAAGCATGACGCACTCATTGTGTTTTACCGGGAAATGAGAGTTCAGTATAAAAATCATTAAAACATTTTTTTTTTCATATATTTATTTAAACATATGAATGATTTATCTCTAATTCATCCGCAATTGGAATATTTTGTATTACTTGGATCTGCGCATCACTAACACACAGATGTGAATTTATAGGTTTTTTTTCTTTTCTTTTTTCTTTTCATCCTAAATAATAATGTAAACAGCGGCTGTTTACCTTGCCACTTCATGTGTTTCTGTGATCTGATAGCTATCCGATCGTGAAAAGACCAGGTGTAAATGCCCTCCGAAACGCATTCGAGATGGATTTAAATCCAATTGTTCAAACCACTTCAGGAGGTGCTCTGGGCCGCCCGCATTCCAGACGAAACTGGACAAGTGTAAATGCATCTGGTTGTTGAAACCACATGTAAATTGGACTCCTCCCGTCCCAACAATGCTAAAAATAAACGTGTGAGAGCGTGTTATAGGCTATATGTCATGAATAGTCATTATGACGAAGCAACACGCATCACCGCAGATGAGCAGCTGAGAATCTATTCATCAAGCCAACGTGCAAACTACAGCAAATCAAAGTGAATGCAAGTCGCAGACGCTTAACACACAATCATCTTAGTTAAAAGTAAAGAAAAAAATATCTTACCAGGGCTGTTGCCACTCTCTCTTATTAAGGTCTTTGATTTTGAAATTAGCTGATGATCAATAAAATGCAGCTCGAACTGTTGCTTTCGGTGACGCGAACTCCGTCCTGAGGGTCACTCCACCCATTTCAACATTAATCTTTATTGAAAGTGGGTCATATATGTAGTTGAAATGTAAAAGAATTTTTGAATTTGGTGCCCTCTAGACCGAGAAAAGACAGAAAATAACTTTATGGCACATTTGTATTTAAGACAACAACTCCCGCAATGCACCACATTGCACAGCTCCGCAAGCCACTCCCACTAATCCAGAACAGCGCAAACATCAGCGAAATCACTCTTCCGTCTACAAGGCTAGCTGTCAAAAGAGTTTGAAATTCATTTCACACAAAATGTCTAGTTAGTTGGCTGTGGCGAGCAGGACGAGGGACGTGATAATGAATGACACCTGTGAGACGCAGCGGTCTCATATCTCTCACGGAGGAGATATCTCTCACAACAACGAACCCCGTTACATTGGCAAAGTTTGTATTTCTTTCTATATGGTGAATTATTGCCTTATACCTGGATGTTCAGTCAGGCGAAACTAGGATGGTTCACATCACAACACAAACGTCAGTGTGCTCGTCTGATTCAGAGATTTCGTCCAGGAGAAATTGCCATCGTTGAAATTCTCTGCAGCAGACGGACTCTATCTGTGTCCGTAGCGCACAGCGAGAGCACAGGCACCAGCAGTCCGCCCAGCTCGAGCCAGTCTGGGCTCCTTGTCCGCCTCCTGTTCCTCCATCAGCCTCAGCTGCTCTTCGATATTGCGGCTCGTAAAAATAGCCACGAACATCGGATTCGAGCAGCAGAATTTCAAAATCCTCTTCTTCCATATCATGTTTAGTTTCCTCCGTCATTGTCGTAACTTCCTATATCCACAGCGCTTGTTAGCTTAGCTTATAAACAAGATGGCTGATATTGATTTCAGTATCTGTAAGGGAAGTCTGATCTGTGATAGCTCTGTTAGCGCATTAGGTCCAACCCCCTATGGGCGGGTTTGAAAGGGTGGGAACTTGTGCTTGTAGTCTTTACAGAAATCCCCCCCTCTTACACTTCCTCCTACAATGACGTAAAATGACGATTTTTGCGTCATTGTAGGAGGAAGTGAAAAAGGTAAATAGTGGATTTCTCTTGTCTCAGGGGAAAATGAGAGAGTTTTGCACGACCATTCAATAGTATGACTGGGTTTCTAACAATGGAAAGCTTAATGCAAATGGGTGGAGTGACCCTTTAAATCTGCATATAGCGCGGGGTTTGAAGATCGGATTTATGCCCCGTTTACACGAAGGGAAGACGCAGATATTTCCCTGCAGTTTGGCCTCTCATTTACACAAAACCCCGTTGAAAACGATTTCTAAAAACTCCGCCAAAGTGGAGATTTCTGATAACGCCGGTTATGTGTTGCCGTGTCAACTGGAAGAAACGGGGTTTTAGGTTTTCTCAAACATCATATTATGCGCCAGAAAATGCTTAACGTCATGTGAACGCCCAGATTGTCATATGGCGCTCGACGGCGTATTTATGTGGGTTGATGTAAATTACAACTTTTTTGAAAACGATGTTGTGTGCACAATGTTATTATTGAAAACGGAGGGGGAAATGTTCGTTTCTCTAAATACCCGGCTATGTGTAAATGTTTTGCGAAAACACATTTATGTGACCAGGTGTAAATGGAATCGTTTTAATAAATCAGATAGCTATCCAATCTGAGAAAACGCATGAAGTGGCCAGGTGTAAAGCATCTGTATAATTGTCTGCTAATAAATTGCGAATTGTGGCATGTTGCAAATCAGTCCCATTTCTTGTGTTTTTATGAATGAAATCGACGTTGACTCAACTTTGATGTCATAACAGTCGACTTAAAAAAATCTGAAGTCGTTCAACCCCTAATACGTTCATGCAATATTTTTAATTGTCCACAAAGACAGCAAGAGACATGATGGTAAAAGCCTGGTGTTCTGGGCTTAAAGACTGTCAAAGCCATCCCTGGCAAATGCAAATGATATCGAGCTCTAAATTACAGTTCAGTCAGCTAGCAGAGGACAAGTAGAATAGAAATCTGCAAAGGAGGATGGAAAGAATGGACAAAACATGCAGCTCTTTGCAATGCAGCATTCATCTTCGTACTTAACTATTATCAGTAACAATGCAAGCCATGGGATATTTGTAGGATCACTTTACTGCTTATGATAAAACTAACCCTAGTGTGTGTCCCAGACCACCATTCATCACAGAGGAATACAAGCGTGTTCATCAACTATGCTGCTAGTAGCTGTTTTCAAGCCTCTGATCATCATTTAAAGGATACTGACATGATCTGTAGACAAACTGTTTCCATGGAAAAAAATGACAATTACTTATTTTAAAGTAAGACTTCACTAAATAAATAAATTATTATTATTAATAATAATAATAATAAAAAATCAGTCTCATGTCTGATCTACTGATTGGCTAAACTGAGGTGCTGCAGGGATGACATATTTTTGTAGGCCAAACCCATTATCCCAATAGGCCAATATCCCAACCCGATCTCACGGCAATTCGTACGAATTTTACGAGGTGGCTAATTCTTACCAATTCATATGACCTCACTCGTACGAATTCGTATGATTTTTGCTAATCGTACATATTTTATGAGTTGCCAAATTCCCCTGACCCCGCCCCTCAACTTACCCATCACGTGGGTTTAGACAAATCGTACGAATTCAAATGAATTAGCCACCTTTTAATCACCCGTACGAATTCCCTACGAATTGGTCGTGAGATAGGGTTGAATATCCTGAAGTCAATCGGTTTTTTGAATGCGTTTTTGGTTTAATGCCTAAAATAAGGTGTGGTTAGCA